GAAGCATGGTCGAGTACCACGGCGGAAGGATTTCCGTCGTTCCCTGTACGACATTACACCGAGATATATCTGGGCTGTGCGCGGGGAAGCTTCAAGATATCCTCCGGAGAAAAGCACTCCATCCGAATGACTGCTGTTCTTACCGCTTGCTCCAATGGCACGAAGCTGCCGATCCTCTACATCATGAAGGGCGTTCCGGGAGGCAGGATCGAGAAGACGGAATTCCCGACGTTTCCGAGCGATCATTACTCTGCGGTTCAACAACGGGCGTGGATGGATGGAAATGTTTGTGCGTCTTACCTTCGTCGCGTTTTTGATGAGAGCATCAATGAGCTTACGGTCGTCCTCATGGACAAATTTGACGCGCACAATTTTGACGCGCACAATTCTGAACAATCGTATTAGATCATGTACAGCACAATGAGCTGGGCTTTCACCACTGTACATCACTGTCTCCGAACGCCACGTCCGATTGCACAATCCGGACCGTGATAAACAGCACATACATAGGTTTATACATCACAGACATTCAGAGTGACATGAGTGTCAACAATCGCTACCTTACGAACAACGAGCGCGAAGACATCCTCCGCGACGTGCTGCTTCACAGATGCAACGACTGATGGTCAAGGCTGCCCAAAAGAATTGCACAGGTGCTTGCCGAGAAGTACTTCGATGGTCTTCATCGAAGGTTGTTATGGTGTATACCAAACTGAGTATTGGCCAATCCGATCATGCTATTTTTCTATGTTCGTGAGATGGTAGCAACCAACAATGCCACCGATCAATCCGTTGCATTGAAAGTTTATCATCCAATTAAAAGCGTATTTCATGTCGGTCGTCCAAACTCCTTTCAGAACGGATGCCATGTATACGCAACGGGTGAGGTAATATCAATATCATATCGTATAGGTGGCAGTAATTTCGAACTAATATTATCAGTAATTTCCGATACCATACGACGAGATCCCACACTTCCTACTTCCGAAGGGCTTCGACCAGCATTCCGTCGTGGCTAAAACCAAGGACTTCCATGACTAGTTTGTCGATGAGCTGGTGACAATCCTGCGACGTTTCATCGACCCATGCCTTAAGAACACGCAACATGACAAACAGTTTCGAGCTGCACCATCTTGAAGCGCACTTGTTTCGTCACAGCAACGGCTCCGACGACTGACCATACAGCAGCGCCGCTGCTCTGGCTCTTTGACTTGGTCTTCTGTGGCGTCGCCGCGGCTGACTTCGCCGTCTTCAGCTCTCGAATTTCACGAGCTTCGTCGTGGTACTCCTGGTACCCGGCAGCATATTGTTTAAGCCACGATGCAAACCGATGAACATTGTGCTTCAACGGCTTGATTTGAGAAAGCTTCATCTTCTTCTGCACCTGGGCTTTCAACCCAGGCGGTTGTAACTGGCTAATACTAGTCTCGATGATCGGCTTCGGCTCGACGTCGAAAATCGAGTTCTGGCCAATCTCGTCCGAGTAAAGTGATGCAGCGGCAACCGTGCGGCCAACGCGCGAGCGCCCTCAGAGATGGTCATGCCGCACGCCGTCTTCGACTTGATCTTCTCCACGAGGTCATCAACCTCGAGTGGAGGTGGCTGTTGGTAAGCCATCATGAACTACGATTGCCACTCGACTTCCGTCACAGTGTTGTGGTCCCTGCCGTCCATTTCCCAGTACGCAATGTGGCGCTTCTCTGCAGGTTCAATACATGGTGACACCGGCATTAGCAACGGTCGCTGGCAAGTGGCCTGCAGTGCTTCAATTGGCCACGATACTTCTCGTAGTCTCGCATAAACTGACGCTTCTACGCACGGGTATCACAGTAGTACGACGGCGGCGTCTGCAACGCAGGCGCATTAAAAACATAAGCAACTTCGTATTCCGCTTCCATGTTGAAGTCTTCAACGTTGTGGGTGCTCGGGGCAGGCGCGGGCGCTTGAGCTGGCGCTGGTGCCGGCGCCGCTCCGGGTGCCGGGCCAGTAGGTTGAGCATTCGGGTTCCAAAGGCGTGTATCAACCGCTGCGCTCACCCGAGTGGCGACGAGTGAAACACTCGCGGCAGTCTTGCCCCAGCCCTTGCCCTACCTCGGTCGTATTGACGGCGGTGAAACGGATCACATCTTCTTCATTGTCGTCGTCTTCTGGTCCATCGCCCGGTCAGAGCGCGACCACCCACTGTCTGGACGGGAATCTCCGTCGTGGGGTGTTCTCCGCAGATCGTGCGGTCCGTGCGGCGTCGTCAACGTCACACCTTGCTTCAGTCGTGAATATCTCGACTAGAATTTTTCTAATGAAAATCCAGCCATCCGCCGACCCGATCTTCAATCGGGTCACACGTGTTGCAATTTTAGAACTGAGCATTAAGTTAATAGCTAGACTAGACTCCTAGCCTACCACTAACCCTTGCAGAACGCACCACAACCAGTCAGCCAGCAGACAGCTGGCCGACTTCAACTTGTATACAGCAATAGGGCCCAGATCTGGGCACCTGTTTAAAACACGCACTGCCAGCTTGGTATCACCAAGCTTGCAGCACGCGCTCTGCACGCAGAACAGATGGCAATGACACGTCATGGCATACCTTGCGTGCAAGGAACCTTCAAGGTTATGTCATGTCATTAATTTAATTGATGACCTAGACGGATCTGCAACCCAAGAGA